ATAAAAAGATTTCTGCCCACCTCTGAATTAAAGCATGAAAAGTGTGCATCAAATGAACACTGTTAGATGATACCAATGCATTAGGAGGCAGTCCAATTATTTCCTAGCCAGTTAATGTGCCTTCATACAAAAGCACAGCCCAAGGGAGCATGCAAGGGAGGGGCAGAGCAAGACCGCAGGGAATTCTGGAGTCTCTGGAGGTGCATTTCATCCTTTGAGCCCGGCTACATCCAGCTGAAAATGGTAGAACATGGACACAGGTCTGCCTGCCTGTGTCAGAACCTGGCCTGCCTACAGAGAGCAGGTTTGCAAGGATTCCTAAGTGGCTGCGTGTGCGTCATATTCCAGTGAGCCCAGCCAGCACCTCCTCAGACAAAACACCAGGGGAAGTTCAAGGGAAGCAGGGGATCAGTGAAGATTCCCTGGGAGAGCTTTTCCTGCGGAGCCAGTCCCCTCTGGCCAAATTCCGGTGGTGGCACCTCTCAAGATCAGCTGAAGACATCTCGGTACCTGGGTCAGAAAATCCAGATGGCAGCACTGGGGAACGGCCCCTCCTGGGACAAGGAACCACCTGGTCTTATCAAGGCCTGCACAGAAGAATGTCTGAGGGATTTGCCTCTCACCTGACTTGTCCTTCCCTTCTGCTGCTTCCTTTACCATCACCCCAAATGCCCTTCCGAGATGACCCTCTCACCACCACAGGGGGCAGCCTCTGGCCATCCCCATGTTCGGGAGGAGTGAAGCGGTGGGGGGCCTGAGACTGAACACATCCCTGCAGCCCTGTCCTGTGCCCTCGCAAACCTATATATAGGCCTTCTGGCTCCGAGGGTGCCGGATCACACAGTCTTCCCAGTTGGGTTGCTCTGGCAGCCTTGTTTTTTTGGGTTATATAACTCCCTCCTGGCCTGCTCCAGAGCTTGCGTTGTGGCCAAATGCCTGGGACCTGCTTTGGCATCAAAAGCCTGACCTAAGGCTCGGATTAGCTGTCCCATCCTGCCCTCCTTCTCCTGCCAAAGGGACTCACCCAAGTCCCCCAGGGGCTGCCCTGCCCGCCCTGCTCCACCCATCTTCCTAGCAACTTGGGCTGTGCACGGGCACGGACATGTGAAGGCCGAACTGCCGAGGCCTGGGTGTGGTCTGAACCGGCATTGCCGGCTATCTTTGGGGCTGCTTACTGCGATTTCTGTTTGCGAGTGGTTCATGGGTTGCTAGGGCAAGGCAGAGGAACTAAAAGGAGGGAAGAGACGCTGATCCACAGTTTGCCCTTGCAGAAAGATACAGATGATGTGGTTGTAAGTTGCAGTGTGCAGTGTTGCTTCTCAGGAAAGGTTTGCTCTGGTGCCTAAATGATCCTTAGTTCAGCACCAGTTGCACATCTACTGGGAGGGTCTTGCACAAACGGGGCTGCAGCAGAGAAGCTTCCCTTGCTGGCATGAGCAGAAGGTAGTTTGAGGAGTGCTTCCCCTGCATAGCTTAGACTGAGGAAGGGTTGTATACAGAAAGGTGCAGTATTTGGTTCTCAAGCCATTTAGGCTCGAAGGTAGGCTCCAGCAGGTTAAATTGGTCCTGGAATAACACCTTTAGGATCAGTGGGACCTGATCCTGCAGAAACGCACCCATGAATGCTCTGCCCACCATTCTGCACATTCTGTTCCAGTGAAGCTTCCAGGGCACCTTCAAGGGCAGCCCCATGCACTTCACTCGGCAGCAGTCGAACTGAGCGTTTCCCCAAGGATGGACCGCCTTAGCCCAGCTGTTTCTAGCCAGGAATGGCAAAGCTGGCAGGGCCACATGAGATGGCTACCTCTGTGGGCAGATGCTGGGAGACAGTGCGGGCAGCTTCCTCCTGTTCTCCTCTGTGAGAGGACAGAACTTCTGGGCCCCCTAAGATACTATCCAGTTCCCAGCGCTGCAGAGAGATGCAGCCTCTGGTCCATCCACTTCTGCAAATGAATTAGGGAGGAAGTGCCCTCTTGCTCTTTGCCTTAGGCAGCAGAATGAGTTGGGCCTGCCCTGGCAGCTGGCAGCTGGCAGCCTTGCTGTGGCTGATAAACGGCACTCTGAGCCACTGAGTGTGTGGCTCTACATGCCCCAGTCAAAAAAGGAAAGGCAAAGAACAAACACCGCCCTGTCAAAATCCTGTTAGAAAGGGGACCCAGGGCGTTCGGCAGCTAGCTAGCTGTCAAAATTCCTTTCGCAAGAAAAGAAAAGAAAAAAGAAAAGAAAAGAAAAGAAAAGAAAAGAAAAGAAAAGAAAAGAAAAGAAAAGAAAAGAAAAGAAAAGAAAGGGGGCAGGTTTCACTTGACACTTTCCTGAACAGCTGTAATGTGGGGAAGAGTTCAGTCAGTGCATCGCCCTACAGATTGTCATAGGAAAGAAAACAAGGGGAGGAAAATAAGAGGAAGCCCTCAGCACCTCCTTTGTATGAGCTGAGATCATTCGTCCCTTCACCTTCCCTTGGCGGCTTGCCTTTAGACATTAATTAAGAGAAAGTAAAGGGGCAATGCTTATTTGGACCACCTTTGGGTCAATGTCCTGAGTTGGTACCTGCTGCATGGTGACTGCAGGGACCCTACCCAGCATTGCTGCCCACAAGGGTCCTGCTTTTGCTTTCCACTTTCATGCCACTGCAACAAAGAACGTTTTGCTACCACTGATTTCCCCTACAAGGTGCTGCTTGGGCAATTTGAAGGGGCTGTCAAAACAGAGACCACAAAAATCAGCTGCCGAGCTGGATACTTTGATCTCCAGAGGAGAAAATAAAGGCAAAGGGACAAAAAGCTGCACTGGGCTGAAAACAGCTTGCAGTCATACCAGGGATGGGGAGGTGTGTCTTCAGGAGAACTGAGGTGGCCAAAAAAAGTGAATTTGAACATTACGTGCACAGTTTGGGATGTTCACAGAACAACAGACCCTCTGAGGCCAACTGGCAGGGTGGGTCAGCATGAAGTGCAAATGTGCCTGGATCTCCAATGAGAAATCTGGATCCAGGAGGGCTCCCAAGCTACAGACTTGCCCTGTCAAAGGAAGTGTGATCTTCGCTAGAACATACAGTTCCCAGCCGTGATAACTATATCCCCAGACATGAGATTATAGGCACTACTTTGAAGCATTCCTGACCCTTGGCCATGATGCCTGGGGTTGCTGGGCACTGAAGTACAAAACCTCTAGAAGGCCCCAGACTGGGAAAGGCTGCTTGATGCTGACTAGCAGTGTTTGTCCAGGATTTCGGGTGGCATGAAATATTCTGCAACCCAGCTGGACATGCCAAGGACTGAACCTGGACTTTCAGGATAATGATGGATTTCTGAGTGTGTTGACTCCAACCTCATGTTTGATGGTTTACCGCACAGTAGTGAGTGATGGCAGAAAACTGCAGAAAACTGGCACAAAACTTCAGCTTGTGTTTGGAGAAGATACTAGTTGAGGGCGTTCTGGTTAACAAACCCCCCAACCCAGATTCTCTTCCTAGTCCTTATCCTGAATGTGTGGTTCTACCTGTGAGCAATGAACCTTCCAACAGAGTATTTGAATACAGGATAATATCCCTCTGCAGCCTAAAGTGGTACAGTCTAGTACCATATGAGCTCTGTGATCCCGGCTCAGAGAGAGGCAGGGCATGGAAATGAGGAAGGAGCAGAAATAGTGGGAGAGCAAAGGCCTTAGCTACTTCTGCAAAAAGTACGGAACGAGGCTGATTTTCCTCACTGCTCATTATGTGGATATTTGCAGTGGGACTGAAGAATCCTGGGGCACCCAGGCAGCTGACTTCACTGAACGCAACTTGTCCTTCTGGGACGTGATGCCCTTACAGAATGCATGCATGCATGACAAGCGGGGAAGTAAGGTGCAGCTCTGTGAGGAACTGAGGTTGAAGACAGACCTGGCATTTTAAGTGTGGTACGTACAGCTGAGTGCATAGGCCTTTCTCTTCAGGGCAAAGTTAGGGTTGCTTCCACCACACTTAAAACATTATGTCAGTCCTAGGTTTATGCAACCATGGTCCCCCTGGATCCATCTCGGATGCCCTTGGGGAGGCCCAGCTTTAAACAGGACTAAACTCTTTAAATCATTTTGATCATCCAATTAACTAGTTCAAGTGTTAGCTAATCGCTTGATGGAGGCCAGTTTTCAGCTATGGACCACAGGGGTGTTGTTAATCAGTTTTAGGGGGAGTGGAAGAGATTTCAGGGTCTACAATTTCAAAATCTTCTCTTAAACACATGTAGATAAAAGGTTATTTTAAAGCACTTTTTATGGCTACTTTTATGCCTCATAATAACCAGAGATAAAGGTGTTCCTGAGAAGCTGCAGCCATCTGAGAGAGATGGTTTAACTTGGAGTCCTGCAGTGAGCACTAAGCAGAGAGTTAAACTCAGTGGCCCTCTTGGCCTTGTCCAACTCTACAGTGATTCTGTCAGTGTGTGTGCTTTTTGCTTTTCAAAAAACTGGGAGAACTGGGGCTATTGTCTTCTTGTCTTCCTTCACAATGCTTCTGGAGGAGCAGAGATGAGAGAGAGTTTAGAGCTGGCTATTTTTGGAAGCCATTTCAGCTGTGGTGAAGGGGGAGAGTTCTGTTTTAAAGGAAGAACAGCCTTGCCGGAGAAATCTTACATGGAGGAGTGTGGTGAGGAAAGGTTTGGCTTAACCCTTTCCCTGATCACTCTTTTATTTGTACAACTCTTCCCTAACCCCACCCCATGGCCTCCTAACCCAGGTGATGTTCTGGTGGTATGTTTGCAAACTCTGTTCCTTTTTCACTTTTCCTGACTAAGGATGAAGAGTTTGCCTGCCCCCATGACAAGAGAAATTGGACTGAAGTGAAAGGTGTCATTCCATTTGCATTTCTGAAAATGCTGAGAGGTATCGCATTACAAGGTGTGCTGCAGCATAAGGAGAACCTTTCAAATGCCTCCTCTGTTTTGAAAGACCTCACATTCTATGAGGCCCCTTACTTCATTCATCTTTAAGGATACAATAAAGAAAATAAAGCATTTCTCTTTGGGAAATCTTTTTTTATTTTCATTAAAATAAAACAGAGAAAATGAGTTGGGGTCTATATTCACAATGGAATTTTGCAATCTTCTCAGTTACCTGTCTATGTTGTCACCCATGTGAGGGATGGGATGTAACCTACACCTGCCTCTTGTGCCTGTTCTACTCAGGCTGAAAGTTCTTCCTTCCCATTTCTCTGAGCCCTTTAACTCAACCTGACATCATCCCTTTCTCCAAGTGCAGTAAAATGTCCCCATTTTACACAGCACATGCTCATCCACTGGGACCCTCTCCCATGACTGGGAGTCCCATAATACCCCAAGTCACAGAGCCGAGGAATGCGGTTGGGGGAGCAGGACCGTGAAGTCAGCGCTAGACCCGACTCCATCATCCTGACACTCCTTGTAGTCCCTTGCCGTGGCAGAATGAAGGCCGCCCTCAGCTCCATTCAGATACTCTCACTTGCTGCTAAACTTCCTTTTCCAAAGCTAGAACTCAGGAGGAGCCCCACACCAGCTTCGTGAGTCTTAGCCAGCTCTTCTTCAAAGTCCTTCCACATGCTGCAATTTTAGGGCTTCAGCATGCCGCTCCTGCCTGTTTCTCCTTCCGTCCACTGAGCTCTCCCTCCTCCCCAAGGGAGACAGCCTTTTAAAAATCACAGTGCAGGGGGAAGCACGGTGGAGCGTGCGCAAGACCCCCGCAACTAGCTATCTATATGCACACATGGATACAGTCACAGTCTTTGCTCCCTCCCCCACAACGGGTTACTCAAGATGGGTTCGATCCTACCAAGTCTTTTCTACGTGTTTGGGCCCCTCTAGAGAGTCCTCATGCAGCAACAGATGCGCAGGCCCAAGGCATCCAAGGCCGCTCCCACAAGGAAAGTCGTTGCTTGGGGACGGTCCCCCGGCCTCAGCCCCTCTGGGCCTCCTGGGACAGGGAGCGGGACAACGAGCGGGGCAGGCCAGCTTTCTTGAAGTCGGGGCAGCTGGGCTGGACGACCAGGGGCAGCTCCTTGGTGATCTCCTCCAGAGGTGTCTTGTCGGGACACACGCCTGCGGGTGGGAGCGACTCCACTGACTCGGAGGGAGTTGGCGTGAGCTCCCGCTCAGCCTTGGTGGCCAGCTTGGCTGGAGTGAAGATGGGCAAGGGCAAGGCCCGCTCGTACGGCAGGTGGTAGGAGACCAGGGGCTCGCCCAGCAGACCCAGGCGGAGGATGCCCCATGGTGACCGCTGCACGATGACCCGGGCCTCCTGCTGCTGGTGGTAGGTCTCTCGGCGCTGCTTGTCCACCTCAGACAGTGACCAGCTGTGGGAAAGTGGGCAGAGGATGAATCACAGTGTCACCCCCCCTGCCCCAGCAAGTCCCCCGTCCCGCGTGAAACCTCCAGCCTCCCCGTCCCTCCCCGTCCTGATTCACATGGCAACCTGGATGATGCTGGATTCACAACGCAAGAGCAGCTTTCGCTACCTGATTCCATACTCACAAATGTTATAAATGTTCGGGCATTTTTAGCTCTCTCTTGAGAAGAGGGCAGAGCAGGAATGAGCGTGTGAGCTGCAGCCCCTCTGTCTCTCCCCACTGCTTTGCGTGTGTCGGGAAAGCAAGTATTTGCAGAGGGGAAGTGCCTCTGCATGTGGAGGCCGCCTGGGCGATTGAGAGCCCTGATCCTCTGCTGCAGAATTTGGCCTTTCCAGCTCAGGGCAGGAAGCTGATGAAGCCAGTGATATGGATGCAGTCGTGAGTGTGGTCAAGATGGCTGTTTGCTATTCCCAGGATCAGGGGCAGTGCTCCTCAAATGCCAGTTGTGATTGGAGCAGGAATCACAGTCTCGCATCCTACCTGTGAACTTCCCTTGGGCACCTGGCTAGCCGTTGTTGGACTAGACACACATTGGATCTGGCCCGGCAAAGCTGCTCCGGTGATCCAGGGCAGGTTCTCTCAGAGTACCAGGTCCGATGGGCAAACCACAACACAATTCCCATCACCCCCTGCTTGTGAGTTTCCCAGAAAGATCTGCCTGGCCCCAGCTGCAGACAAGAAACTGGACTGGAGACAAGCTGGGCAAACAGGCAAACAATTCATATGTTCCTAATTATTTGAACACAGGGAGGAAAATCCACATTTTTAAAGGAGCCTTAGTTAAAAGGCCACAAGCTGTTACCAGTCCACACTGGCTCACCATAATACGCATGAATCCTCTGCTGGTTCTCCCTTCACTTTGCTCCCTTGACCCTCACTATTGCTGCTATTCTGAGTAAATGCCTTTTATCTATCAACCTGTATCCTTAAAAGCTACTCTTTTGCTAAAAAAACAAAACAAACCATCCTTGTGTGTCTTATGTGTCTGGATCCTCCATGACTTGACAATGTTTAACTTCTTAGATCAAGCAAGCAAGACTTTCTTTGCCTAGGCTTGCTTTCAAGCCTTGGCCCAACCAGCAACTTCCATAGCAAAAGAAAACAATTTCATCATCGTAAACTGAGCCTATCCCCATCCCCGTCTGACCAAACCCAACACTCACGCTTCTTCGGGCCGAGTGGTGAGTGACAGGTCTTTCCAGTCAGCGGTGAACGATTCCTTCCGCACTGTGTCTTTCTCATACACTTGGCAACCCAGTTCAGCTGCGGACAGAGTCCCGGAGCTGCGGAGGATCACGCTCTTGCCGTGCATGGTTGCGTCTGGGTTTCTGCTTGGAAGAGGATGAGCTCTTGAAGTCTCAGCTCTGTCTGGCTTGTTATCCCTGCCGCAGGTGATTTATATAGTTTCTGAGTGCTGATTCCCAAGGGGTTGGCGTCTGGCGCTATTTTGGTCCTGCAGAGTCACTTGTGGAGCATTCCGATACTGGACACCGCTGCCCTCCTCCCTCACTTCCCCGGGACGTGTGTGTGACTGGAAACCATATCTATGATGTTACAATATTTTTATGCTCTTTCAACCCCATCTTTCCTGGCAATAATTAGTGGCTGTCAACTGGTCATTTAATTAATTGATCATGGAAGATTGAAAGGATGCAATCATATGATAACCTGAACTCATCTTAACATCAGGGAGGTGTTATAAATTAGGAATGTTGTTTAATATTCCAAATATGGGTCCACTGGAGTAATGATAATATCTTTTTTTTCCCACCAAGCAGGGTGCCTCGCCCCGAGGCTTTTGCGAATGGGGCAGCATATAAGTGTTCCAAATAAAGAAAAAAATCTTCACCCAGGGATATATCCCTTTTCAGTGCCTTTAACTCAGCATCAGAGAAGATGCAAAACAGCAAAGAGAGCGTATTTCTGATGAAGTGCAGAGAATACATACATTTCCCTCTTGCCACTGAGCAATGACAACATTTAGCCAGTTTAGACTTCAGTATTGCTTGATTGTTTTGGCAGGAAGCAAATGCAAGATCAAAAAGATCACTGTCCGATCCCCAGTAAAAGGTGGCCATGTGTCCTACTTTACAGAAGACAGTCCTCTGTTTAAGGTGCCCTCCTTTTGGAATGCTGCCCTCTCCCACTCTTTTTTTTTAATGACAGAGAACTGGCAGAGAGGCTCTGAAGTGGCCACAATTAGCAATGGCACAGCTGAGAAGGCACAGAGGTCTGACTTCCCCTAAATCATGGCCATGTATTTTCTTTCTATTTAAATGACAGTCTTTATTTCTAAGTGTGTGCCGATGCGTGCAACTGAGTATATGCACATTTTATGCCAGTTTATGCTCCTTTCGGCTTGTCTTTCAGTGCACTTTTTCTTCTCTTTTGGCAAAATAGCCACTCTAATGAAATACTGTCAGAATATATAGCATTGCAAGTTGATCATCAAATGCTATCCTGGTTTCAGTATTTTACAAGCCGTTGAATAGGCAGAGAATAGCATCAAAATTTATAGGGTAATATTTCAGTCCAAATTTACTGGCACTGGAGGAAGGAATGGACTCAGGTATCCTGAGAGGAACTATGAGCAAGAGAGAATAATTCAGGAAAGCACTGAGAGATGGAGGGAAGGATTATGGGAACTGTTGATGGGAGAAGCCTGTACTGAGCCAGTGCAGCTGTGTGACGTGTCTGGAGAATGAAATAATATGGAAAGAAGATCTTGCCACCCACTCACTCCCCAGCTCCAGTTTCAGAACCAAGATTCCTCCACTATCTCTCGCACAATCTCACACGCTCGCGCGCGTGCACACAGCCAGGTCCAAATGCACCACTTTCTGCCAGAGAGATGCAATGTCAAAACTTTGGCTTGACTGGGAGAAAATGTCCTGCATGGCCTTGCGAGGGGAGATCAGGACAAGCGCAACGTGAGAGGCTGATTGGGCAAAGAGCCACCCGTGAGAGATGGGAATGCAGGAGCTTTGGGCACAGGGGGCACGTGGAAGCCCCACGCCCCCAGAGGTGGGAAGCCCAATTGTGAAGGCCAGTTAGCCTGGCTCAACTAAAACTACCTCACAGGGCTGTTGAGAGGATGAAACATTAGAGTGCTTGCCATGTACGCCACCCTGAGCTCCTTAGGAGAGAGCGGCAATAATACAGGATGTGATGCATAAACAAGCAAGGCGAGCCCAGTGGCTAAGGAAGGTGGGCTGGCAGGTCCAGCATGCCGGAGTGGAAGGAGGGATGGAACAGAATGAACTCCTGGCTCAGATCTTGCTCCGTTAAGTCAACTCTCAGGGTCTACCACACCTCAAGGCACTGCTGGGAAGATCAGCTAAGACAATCCCCTTCAACTCCAGAAAAGCTCTTGGGGAGGCATTCTGCTGGTGGATGGGCCACGGCCAAAGCAGGCAGTGGCAAAGGCCTGGCAGGGCCAAACTAGCAGCATATTAAAGCTCCCACTGCCAGCAATTAGCCCTTAGAAGAGGCATTTCTACGTTTCAGAATGGGGGGGGGGGGGCTGCACAAGCCGAGACACCACGGAATGGTCTCGGGTGTGGTGATGTGGTCAAGGGAAAGGCCTCTGGGCAACCACAGAGGCCCAAGTTGGGCCCATGGACCTGAGCTGTAACAGGGAAAGGTGAAGGCCATTGCTGAATCTTGAGCCCTGTTGCAGCAACAAAGCAATAGCCCAAAGCTAACAAGCAGTGTTGACATTCTGCTGAATGCTCAATTTTGTTTCTCACATCTTGTTAGGGAAATTGGCCTTAAATGGTAATTTTTTTAAAAAACACCAACATTTATTTGGTAGATTTATATCCTGCATTTCCAAGAGAGTCTCCTTGTAGAACGAGGAAGACCACCTGGAACCCAGACCTGCGTGTCTGGCGAAACCCTCTCCCTGGCTTTGCCCCTTGCTTGGACTCCAAGCAGTTCCCCCAGGCTGCTGTTCCCTGCCTTCTGCTCTCCACCAGTCCAGGCCCCCAGAAGGAGATGAGTGTCCCCCATCTCAGAGCCAAAAAAAGGCAGCAAGTTTCACCCACACAGGACCTGCTAAGTTGAAGAGGTGGCAGAGAGTCCAAGCAGATGAGAGGGACTTTGTCTTGCTCAGCAGGGGCACGGCAGGATTTTGGGCTTCTACAGGCTGACAGCATAGCTGTCCAAAAGGGGAAGGAGAATGGAAGTCCAAGTGAATTGTTGTGGACTGACAAGCAATAGTTGGAGAAACTGGAGACCATCCACAGTCTTCCCTGTTGCTGGGCAAAAGTTAAGTACATTTGCTTGAAGCCTGTGATGGTCACAGAAGCAATTCTTGCTGCTCTGCCTATTGAGTATATAAATAAACGCAGTTATGGGACTGACAAGAAAATCAGAGAAAGGAATCCGCCTGCTGCATCAATCTGCGTCACTCCTTGAAAATGCAGTTACTCATACAGGGATGCAATAGGCAGCCACCCACCTCTGCAGGTAGCTAATTCGGGCTTATTTCTTCAGCAGGAGTGAGGGTATGATCTAATCAGACCTGATACAGCAGGATTGCAGCCCTGCTGGGAAAGAGGCAAAGTCAGAACAGCACTGCCAACCCACAAGACTTTGCTGCCTGAGGCAAAGGACAAGCTAACCCCCACCCCACCGCTTTCCATTCATGGGGCACAGCTAGGAATTGACCTCCAGGCCCAACAGGCCTGAGGCTTTTTGGTGCAGGCCTTTTCCCTCTTATTTTTAGAAAGCGAGGAGAGGTAGGGAATAGCTGGCCGGGCTTGTAGACGGTCACTTCCATGCCTGCCCTTATCTTGAGTGCAGAGTGACATGTCCCAGGCACTTGTGTTGATCTCTTCTTGATTGCTTTGGAACAAGCTGAGCCTTCCAGCTTACATAACAGAGAACTAAAATTATTGAAGGGTGCATGTGTACAAGAGAAGTAGCGGTAATCTGCAATGGAGCCAGATAAGTTCATATTTCTCTGAATCTGACCTGCAGATTCTGCAGCAGGCTGGCTTTTTCTGAGTCATGCAGATTGCTTGGACTTGCAGAGCAGTTCTTCAAATGAGGACAGAACGATCATCAGCGCAGCCTTGCATTCCTGAACATTTGTATACCAGAGTGAAAAAGTCAGAGGTGGACAACTTTGGGAGGTTTGGGGGACAATTTCACCCTCCTGGACACCCCCCGCCACCCCCCACCATGTATGCACTCTCTGCATGCAAGAGTGAAAGCAAAATCATGCTTCATGCAGAGGCTCAAGAGTCTCTGATGCTGTACCTTTCCCAACCTGGAGCCCTCCTGATGTACTGGATTGGAACTCCCACCATTCCTAGCCATTCCTTGTACCAGTGGGAGTTCCTGAGAGTTAGAGTCCAGCACATCTGGAGCGCATCAGGCTGGGGAAGGATTCTCACATCTGGTAATGTTGTGCGACGCTGCTAGATAGGGTCAGGGTATGGGACCCAACTTATTCAGGCCATAGGGGCCTTTCTTGTGTGGTGGATCCTCTGTACCATTCCCTCCTTTGGCCAGAACCAAAGGAGGGTGGTGGTGCTGAATCTCACCCTGAGACCCCTTACATCAGAGGTGGCCAGAAAGTAGCTCTCAGCCAACTGGTAGGTTGCTGGTTGGTTGGCAGTGGAGTGGCAAACAAGGTTTTGTGATATTACTCTCCTTGACTTCAGGAAAAAACAGCAAGCAAGGGACAGGAACCCCAAGGTGGATTACAAGATCCTCCTTAAAAGAGAGAGAAAGATGGGATAGAGGAGGAGGAAGAGGAGGAGGAGGGAGTAGGAATCAACACAGGGTGGTATTTTGCAGGGTTCCCTTTACCAGAAAGAGCAAAGGAAACAGTCAAGCTTCCAGATGTGCACATCAGGCCACATGTTTCTTAGGGCCCCCTCCTCCACTCCGATCCAGACTTTTTCTTCCCACCCTTCTGTGCATTTCTGTGGTTTGTAGGGGCAGGGGTGTGATTGTCCTCACATCTTCTATCCACTTTAAGGATGAGAAGATTGCAATTTTTTCGGGCCTGGTGCGTCTAAGACAGTCAAACTAACCTGCTTTCCTTCATAGGAGTTTGATTCCAGTTTTTATCCTCAGCCAAAATGGCTTTTGCCTGGGAATGACAGGAGTTGCTGTCCAGTACACCAGCTTGCAGCAGAACTTCCCTAATTATGCAGCTTGAGACAGTAAGAAACCCAGGCTAACCTGGCTGCCAGCAGTCCTCACGGCCATGGCTGTAGGAGCGGGCCACCACAGTCACAAGCACGTCACTGAATCGGTGGGTGTTTCCAGGCCTTTCCAAGACTGCCATTTTTGATAACTCTGATGGACATGTTTATGAGAGGTATGTTAGCCATAACCCAATACTTGACCCCGATGGCAAGTGATTAAGTGCCAAACTATACATCACATTAGCGATCCATAATCAGTTCTGCTAATTTAAAGATAAAGAAAGAAAACAAAGGTAATTAAGGAACTAGAAAAGGTCATCAAGTGTAAGGACAAGGCCAAGATCATCCATGCTCGTATTGTATTCCTAATCTCTACAAATGGGTGTGAAAGCTGAACTGTAAAGAAAGCTGATAGCAGGAAAATGGATGTGTTTGAGACATGGCGCTGGAGGACAGCTTCACAAATACTCTGGGCCAGCAGAAAAACAAACAAATGGGTCCTAGAGCAAATCAGTCCTGAAGTTTCTCTGCAAGCAAAAATTACAAAACTGGAGCTAGCATAATTTGGGCAGCTCAGGAGAAGGCATGAGTTGCAGGTGAAGTCAATTATGCTAGGAAAAGTTGCAGGCAGAAAAAGAAGAGGAAGACCAACTTTGCGATGGATTGATTCCAGTAAGGAAGCCACGGCCTGGAATTTACAGCAGCTTCCGGCTGTCACGGAAAGGACATTTTGGAGGGCTTTCATTTACAGTGTTGCCGTAAGTCAGAGATAACCTGATGGCACATAGCAACAACAGTGTGGAATAAGCGAACTTACAGAATAAGCATTCTGTTTTCAAATGTTGGGAGCTCTGATTATGGACCTCTTCTATAATGTGTAGTCTGGCTCCAAGTAGTTAATAACTGGTGCTAAAAGCTAATAATAGTGGGGGAAAACATGTTCTCTGTCTGGATTATGTGCACGCTGATTTGGTGTGAGGAGAGAGGGGATGATCTGCTGCTGTTCCTGCTTCTTAAGTGGGAGAGATGCTGCGCAACGCTCTGTTCTTGTGCGGGGATTAATTCCAGGAGCTGCGCGATATTGTCCAGCAAGACCTTTTCCCAAAGGACTGTGTGGCCTGCTGCTCCATGTCTGCCAGCCCTCCCTGGCTCCTGACACTAATGCATTTATCCTGGATGAACGGCCTCAATAAAGTGTCCATTCAATAGAGTTATTAAACGACTATCCGGTGCAAGATAAACCAATCTGTTCCCTCGCCTCCGGCATTCCCAGGCTGAGCCTCCATCAAGCTCTTGGGAAAGGTCTTCTCAATTACTCCATGACGGAAGGGCGTGGATGAGTGTTAGAGAAATGGCCCCAATTTATAGATACCCCACAGGGAGGCTCTGATGGTATCAGCCCAAAGTACTTGGCACTAATTGCATTGGGTCCATTAACCTGTTTTGATGCCTTCAGCAAACAAGGGTATAAAACCTCTTGGCCAGGCTCTGCCTAGTGAGGGGCTGGATGCGACCGCACACCTCCTGAGCATGAGTGCCAGTGGTGTGGCGGCCGTGGCTGAAAGCTACCAGGCGTTCAACCCCAGGGCCTACCTGCAGAACAACTACATGCCGCCTCGTGCCAACTTCACCAGCGAGGAGTATGCGGTCCCTTGGAAACTCCGTTGCCTGGCGGATGCCTTTGCCACAGGTAGGCAGAGACCCGTAACCTTTTCCATTGCAAGCAGGAGAGGCCTGCTTTTGAAAGCTGAACTTGCTTATCCCTTTTTAAAAAATCTTTGGACTTGTTGTTGTTGTTATTTCACCTTTCCTTAAGACTGTCCCTGACAAGAAAGCTAAACTGTCCAAGTGCTGAGCTTGCTAAATCTAAACCAGGCATGTTACAAAGGAACACGGCTCCTTTGTAAACTTCTGCTTAAGCTTTGCAAAACCTGAGCTACTCGACCAAGACAAGGCTTGTAAGATCTCTGCTCTCCCTGCTGCTCTGCTGTTGAAAGTTGACAAGACTCCTTATTGGACAGGTGAGGGTTTTAGTTTATGCAACTTATGGTAAGTAGCAACCATGCTAAAATCAAAGCAGTACTCTTTGCAAGAATGCTAAGCTGCCTGGCAAAAGAACTCGATTTCTTTGCAAGTTTGCAATTTGGTTAAATCTGAGTGCATAGGGTGGCCAGATGTCCTTCTTCACAGAAGGGACTTGTCTATCTGAAGGTGTCCTCTTTGGGAAGGGCAGAGGACTGTCCAGTCCAAATCCGTAAGGAGGGGAGTTGCCATGAAGAGTTAATCACATTTATGTATTAGATCTGTACTTAATTTTTTAAAAAAAATTCTAAATGTATATGTCCAATAATATATTAACACATGAACATTTCTATAGGCACCTGTGCCCTCTTTGCTCTCTCTTTTGGTGATGCATTTCCTCTTTTTTGGTGTACCTCAAAGTAACTGGACCAGAGAGGTAATTTAAACTTTATGTTGCCCTTTGCATTTTGCTCCATGTAATCAGATTGTTTCTGCCACGCCACTCGTACTTGCAATAGTGATTTTGATTTTCATGTTGCTGTAAGGAATGCCATAGACTGACTGCTTCTTTGACTGACTGCTTCTTTTTGGCAGCGTTTGGTGGCCAATTACTAATCCAGCTGATGACCTTTGCCTCACCTTGGTGGTGCCCGGCCACTGCTGGCCATCGTTTGCCACCCACCAGTCGCCACACCCTTGTCTGCCTGGCTCCTTGGGCTCTGAAGAGTGGGAATGTGGACCCTGGCCGGAAGCGCCACTGGGCATTCCTCCTGAGTCACCCCTTTTCTCCTTAGACAGTACCATGCCTGCTCTGGCCTGGGCAGTCCGCCTTGCCCAGGTGCCTTCTCCCGGCACAGCAGCCAAGCAAGCAAGCACGCAGGGAGGGAGAGAGGGAGGGAGGTGGCCAAGCGCAGCCACGCACGCCAGCCAGGGCTGGGCTTGTGGGCGCACGGCGAGGCTCCCATGGCAAGGGCTGCCATCGCTTTGCCTTGCCGTGGGTTTCGAGCGGGCCATGAGCTGGGGCCGGGCAGAGCAGTGAGCAATCGGTCGTGGGGAGCTGGAGGACAGAGCTGTGTGCACACCGCACACCCTCCCGGGCCCTAAGCTAGGTTGTTTTGGTTAAGCACACCTGTCTTCTGTAGATGGAATGAGTGCTTGTGAGACATCTCATTCTCCACCTCAGGCAGCAAAATCCCCATTCTTTGGCTCCTCAGCTAGTGTGGAAGACCCAGAAAGCAGTACAATTTTTCAAGCGTTTCCTCTTCTTAGGGTTACCCGAGGCTTTGATTGGCTTGGTGGAGTCCATATATAATTTTTTCCATTGATATGCTGCCAGGGGGAGCATATTGTGGATTATAACTTGGCTTATAATTTGGCTTATCACTCCCATCAGATCTGGGGCTTCTCTATATGAGACATTCACATGTGCTCATGATCCCTCACTTACAGATATTTGTGAGTCCTTTTCACAAAGCCGTCATCCTCCAGGGCCTCTCCCATGTTCTCCAGCCATTCTTGCAGCTTTTTCCCCCAAAGCAAGAAAAGGCAGGTATTAAATTGCAAATGTGGAACAAACCAGAATGAAAGTCCTGTGTGTTGTTGGGATTCCACTGCACTGCAGCTGCACCACAGTGCCAACATGTGGTTGGATCATGGAATTTAAAGAAAGCGGGGAAAGACAAACCTTGAAGGGGGAAAAACATGTTGTAGACACACTCTTTCTCCTGTGGAGAAGACAGAAGACTCAGTAGAGCAATGGGTTCAATGCCTCAAGTAGAGAAGCCCCTAACCATCATAGCTAATGTGTGGGAATCATATGGTAGGGCAAATATCTGGCCACAAATATCTGGTAGGTGAAAAGGCCACCCTTGCACAAAATGAACCATTTCAGTGAAGAACCGAGCTCTTGCACTCGTCCTTGTTTTGTTGAAAGAGAATTTTGGCAAGTGCCACTTTTCCAGCTCCTGTTATGCTTTCCTATATGATCTCTTTCCTCTGTGTGGATCCCTTAAATTTCAAGGGGAAAATCTTCCAGTAGACAATACCTCATGAAGCAAGATCTCTTTGTTGCCACCCATAATGGTTCCCTTTGCTTGATGGTAAGGCCACTTCTGGATGAAAAACAAGGCTCCAGGCCTTTCTGATTGTGTCAGATAAAATAGAGAGATACCTGGTGGGCACAGTCCCTTTCCCTGGCATCTGTTATGATTTTTAAATAAAGTGTTCTAGTCCTCATGAAATGAATTCTTATGAGTGCCTCTTGGTTCTTTTGTCTCTCTGAACCCCCTGCAGGGGAAATCTATGGCCATACTCTCATTGACATTGGCACAGGCCCCACCATCTACCAGCTCCTCAGTGCCTGCGACTACTTCGAGGAGATCGTGGCCACTGACTACCTGGAAGTGAACCGGGCTGAGATTCGTGGCTGGCTGCGCGGTGAGGATCCCGGCATCTTCAACTGGACACCGTACATTCAGCACGTTTGTAGGATTGAAGGCAAAGGGTAAGAAACAAAGGCAGGGCTCAGGCTGGGGAAGGGCACCACTACCTGTGCCCAGGGGAGCTGGCGGGGGATACCTTTCGTACCTCCGTGGCCAACCCCTGTTGCCCCAGCAACCTGCTCCACAGCCACCAGCCACATCATAGTTTAGCAGGACCATGGTTCCTCACTGGCCCGGGGAAGCAGTTCTCCAGTGGCTGCTGGGATAGCCTCTGCATTCAGTCCTGGCAGCCCGACTCCCCTCTTCTGCCCAGTTCAGCTCCCAGCCTTTGCGATTCATGACAGGTCTACTCCTGGTAGGCAATCTTGTTCCCAGAGAACCACTCTGCTGGAGCAGGGTCTCAAGGGTCAACTGGCCCAGCTGCCTGCTGGTGCTGAGGCGTAGGGGATTTCCTGCACTCCTGAGAGGGGCCATCCAGCCTCCACCGCAAGTCCCCCAATCAAGGAGAATCCAGGACCTTTTGGGGCAGCTGTTCCACTCCTGACCCGCTTGCACCCTACCCACCGGCCTCCTCTCCCTTCCTGGCATGGTGTGAGGCCTCTTTCTGTGGGGTTGCCTGACAATTTGTGACTGGATTTGCCACGACCAGTCCCAGCTTGAGGTGAGTAGCATCTGGGCTGATCCAGTGCACTGACTGGGAAGCCCTGACTGGGGAAACTTCAGAGCAGCTTCTGCATTTCAGCTGTGGGAGAGGCTAACTACAGGCCCGACTCACTCTGTTTTGTTCCTGGCTACTCCAGGGAGCCATGGAAGGAGAAGGAGCAAAAACTGAAGAAGAAACTCAAGAAGGTCCTCCCCATCGATGTCCACCAGCCCAGCCCCCTGGGCTTCTTGCTCAGCCAGCCGGCCGATGCCTTAGTCTCTGCCTTCTGCCTGGAGGCAGTGAGCCCGGACCGCCCGAGCTTCGATCGTGCCCTGCAGAACGTCACCACGCTCCTCAAGCCCGGCGGCCATTTCCTCATGATTGGGGCTCTGGAGGAGTCCTTCTACCTGGCTGGAGAGGCCAAGCTGTCAGTGGTTCCCATGAGCAAGGCGGGCATCAAAGAATCCTTTGCCAAGTGTGGCTACCACATCTGCAACTTCCGCTCCTACGACATGCCACCAAGTCTGAAGATCGGGGTGGATGATGTACAAGGCATCTTTTTCATCCATGCACAGAAGCCAGCTTGATTGCAGCTTGTCTAGCAGCCCCTTTTTTCCTCAGCCAAGAAATGGTACCTTCCATTGTATCTAGCTAGAAAATCAGCTTGCATACTGTTAATGTTACTTCCTGTTCTAGTGCTGTTTCGCTAACTCATTTTGGTTATTTTCTTTAAACTCAAGCTCCCTGCTAAGAAAAGGGGGCATCAGTGGCCCAAATAAATCACTTGCCCAATTTATTCTGCTCCTGCTTCCCTCTACCCGCAACCCCAGCGACTGGAAGTTCACTGGTGGAGACAAATCAGCAGTGGGGCAGATGCTTTCCATGTAGAAGATTCCCAGGATCACCTCCAGCTTGGAAAGGTGGTGTTGGGATTTTTTAGGTAATAGGTTGGAAGAGACCTCCCCACCCAAGACCCTGCCAAAGCGGTGCCAGCTAGAGCAGAATGCATTGATTTAGATCAGGGCATGGGGGCATTTTCTCCTGCCGAGGGCCATGTTTGCTCAGGGGTCATGTGTCGGGCTACTGGCTGTCAGTGGGAAGGGGCAGGAGTAGAGCCAAAAGTAGTGTGGCTGTCCATGTCTTTTCTGTCCCTTTCTGCCACCTTCTTTTCTCTTTCCCCCTGCTTTTTTCACCCTCCTCCTCCCTCCCCACCCAGCAAGCTGCCAGGGGAGGGCAGATTGCGCTTCCCAGATTAATTACCATGGGCATTTGAAATTAGCTTGCCTGCCCTAAGGCTAGATGGACTGATGGTAAGGCAATTTCACATGTGTTGAAGTCCAAATCAGATTTCCTCTGGCTTCTGTGTATTAATTGAGCATTGCTCATATATTTTTGGGTTCCTCACTGCAACCAGAAGAGCTGGTCCCTTTCCGCTTTGTTTTGGCATTAGCTAATTCCAGACTATCAGTATATCATAACAACGACATTTCTCTACTGCCCATAGCCAGAACTTTCCAGGCGGTTCACAACATTTAAGCCACCCATCCAGATTTCAAACAGGCCTAACCCTGCTTAGCTCCCAGGATGAGGCAGGATCAGGGACTTCAGGCTATATGCAAGTACATATATAATGTTCAGGACAATCCTAAAACAGTCAGAGGCAAAGACATTTTCATTTATCAAAATTAGAGGAATAGGTGGGGAGGCATGCTTCACCCTCTCCAGTGTGTGTCTGAGTTGTGCAACCTCATGATTTTGTTCACAATTGCTTGGGGAGTGATGAAGCCCTGTTGTGACACCCCTGTGTATCCTAAATGCAAGGAGGGCTGTGGCAGGAAATGTTGTTCCAAGCATTTCTTATTGTTCAAACGTCTCCCTTGATAAAGAGTTCTTCAAAATGCATTGGATTCCTATCTACCTGTGTACAGTTTTGTTTCTGATGTCCTTTTCCTATGGCTGCCTGTGATTCTTGTGTGCGTACACACACGTTGCTACAGCACAAACAGAGGTGTTGGTTTTCAAAGGTTGGCTCTTCGGGGAATACTTTCCACATCAACTCATCTGCCAATGTACCCTAACACCATGCAGGCAGTTCTGGGGGCTTACTCTAGGGTGGAAACTCCCTTTATGCGGGGCACTGACTAGGTCTCTCAGGCATCAACAACATCCCATCTACAATGGGAATGAAACCTGGAAGATACCTGACACTGGGGGCTCTCCCATACGAGGGACATTCAGATAGTGACTGGACAGCCATCTGAGTGGGACGGTGTAAACTGCCGTCCTGCAACAGCAGGGGGTTGGACCCGATGGCCTTCATGGCCCCTTCCAACGCTACTATTCTATAAATTTCCTATTCTCCCACTGCAGGAGACAACCAGTTATGGAAAATAAACGGTCTCTCAGGTAAGTTTTTGTGTCATTCATTATCCGACTCTTTCAGATATTCAAGCATAGCTGCAGCTGCTTACCTAGCCAACTAACATCCCTAAACACACACGGGGGGGGGGGGGTAAAAATAGGTTACAGAACATCTAGGGTGTGTGGAAATAAATAAAAATCAATGTACCACAAACTGTAGAGCCTATGTCCTGACCAAGGGCCCCCTCAAGAGTAAGTTGGGGTGCTTCAGGCCCCCGAGCGCCCCCCACCATGACACACTCAGCTACCCTTCCCGGATTTCAGGCTCGAGATCAGCACTTGGCAACAATTACCAGGCATTGCATCCACAGGTGAGCTCAGCTCCGGTGAGGGCTGGAATTCAGAATCATGACAAGCACTGATCAGGTGAGCGAAGAGAAAAGTGTGGAAGGGGAGACGCACAGGAGGAGACACCACAGAGGACAAGCTCTCAATAAGATGCCCTGGGAAATTCCCTCAGCCCCACTGGTCAGACAGAAAGCACCTGCAGAGAAGGCAGGGGCAACGGGGAAAGGGGAAGCCCAGCCCTGTGAAGACAGCGTCCAGCAGAATCTTGACTCTGGCCAGAGGTCTGGCTGAAGTGTGCGAATCCATTGCTGCAGCCAGCACGCCGGAAGACTGCGAGGAAGAATAAATTATTCTATTTGTGATACAATAAAAGAAAGACTGATTTATTTCTAATCATTTAGAAATTTAATTTTTATTTCAATTAATTCTAATTTATTTCACCCTTATTATTGTTTGTTTGTTGGCAATGTTACCGAACGCAGCCGGTCAACAGCTAGGGCAAACCCAGGTGGACCCCCGACCCGAGCCAAAAGGAGTCTGAGACGAGACTTAGAGACAAAACCAGCTTTATTCTAGTGCACTATAGAATAAAGGGAGAAAAAAGAGGACATTCAACCCAAAGCAGCATCTCAATAGTTGCACCATAGTACATGCATTTTATACCCAATGTAACCAATTAGGTCACCTAATACACATCTAATACATCGATACATCAATTTATGCACCCCTCCCTTGCTGGAGAAAGAGTCCTTCTGTGAAGGATGGACATTTCCCATGTCTACTTCTTAGCTGGTCAAGATTCACACAGGCTGGCCATGTTCTTACTCCCTGCACATTTGCAACATTCATGGCGGCTAGAAACACTATCCACTGCCCCTTTGCTAATTGTATTAGAGGTCAGGCTAGCGTGTTAGCTGTGTGTTACAACAAGTTCATTTTGTTCTCACCTGCCCTCCATTCTGGGACAGAATAACTGTGGTGTTTTTACTATGTGGCCTTCCTCAGGCCAAGTAGTTTCGGGGCCTTCCTCTGGCCAATCACTTTTGTGGTGTTTTGGGGTGCTGCAATTGACAACAAAAGATGTGTAGGAAGACTATGGGTAATTGCACTGATGGAGAGATTGACTAGATGGACTGGAATCCTGAGAGGGGAAATGAAAATGGATAATTTCACTAAACTTTGGCACCCCTTATCAACCTTGGATATGGAATCAAATATTGCGATGGATATGCTGGATAAACTCATAGTATATTGGTCTGTTTTTAGTAAGTCTACATACACACAAACACACAAATATATATAGATGAGTATAAATTCCTGGAATGCACTTGGAATGGAGAGGTAAATCATTACTGTATAGAAAATGCACATGCTGCAAGATGATTGCCTGTTTTTGTTATTGTAAAGGACTGTCAATTTTTTTAAAAAAGGAAATGATATAGCAAAAGAAATGTACGGGGCCTCCTAGGCATGTTTGGAAGAGCAAGGCTGCTGTCTGTGGCCTTTTAGTAGTCTTTCCATTTTTTCAAGCACAAGCTGGCTGTGGCCATGCATGAAAGTCACACTGGTCCCTCCTAAGTTTTGCTTCAGTAGCTGTCATGATCCTTCTTACAGGAGTGCAGGTTCACTATAAAATCCCACTCCTGACATGGAAATTGCTCCTTCTGTGAACTGGGGGGGGCGGGGTGGAGCTGGACTCTATGGATGGTGTACATTTGAGAACCTGTTGCCGAGTTTGTACATTCAGGCATCAGCCTGCCCTTCGCTGAGCTTAGGTGGAAGAGGAGGAGACTTTTATTTTTCCATGACTCTCTGTCCCTTGTGTTTCTGCTCCCCTAGAAGCTATTGAGATGGCTCACAACAATGGAAGTCATAGGGCTAAATAGATGGAGTGAAACATGGAAGCTGAAAACCACAGTAAAGATATCAAGTAAGCCCGAAATTGAACCGTTCAGCAGTGCAAATGTTTGCACATAGAAGCAGGCTTCAAGCCACGTAAGTTTTCCGGCAAATGCCCTGGGCACCAATCAGTTGTAACCATGGCTATTTGGTCATCCTGGCTTGGGCCTGGCATCCCCCAGCTGGCCCAGTGGGGATCAGGCCCGCCGTGTCAAAATGCGAGCAGGCCGGCTCCCTCCAGCTCCCTGCACCCTCACAGAGCTGCCGGTCCTCGCGGGTCACAAAGCGACCTCTCATACAAGCCAGGAGTCTCTCAGGCCAAGTGCTGGTCCGGAGCCTGAAATCCAGGCAGGTGAGCGAAGAGAAAAGCATGGACGGGGAGACGTACAGGTGGAGACGCCACTGAGGACAAGCTCTCCATGCCATGACCTGGTGAATTCCGTCAGCCACTCAGGCCGGCCGGAAAGCACCTGCAGAGGAGGAAGTGGCGACGGGGAAAGGGGAAGCCCGGCCCTCGGAGGACGGCGTCCGACAGAATCCTGACTCTGGCCCGAGCTCGGGCTGAAGTGTGTGGATCCATTCCTGCAGCCAGCACGGCGGAAGACTCCGAGCAAGAATAGACTATTCTATTTTTGATAAAATAAAGGAAGGATTGATTTATTTCTAATTAATCCATTTGCCTTCTTATTCATTTAAGTAGAAACACCAAACTCTGTATTCCTGCGGCACCCTTATTATTGTTTGTTTGGTTGCTATTTTAATGTTTGGTTATGCCGCTCACTTGCCAAACTCAGGGTCAGTGTGGCGCAGTGCTTAAGAGCGTAGGACTGCGACTCCGATGCTCCTGGTTCTAGTTCCCGCTCAGCCGTGGGGCCAACTGGGTGCCTCTCCAGCCTACCTCACAGTGCTTTTGCTGTGGTTAGAAGGGAAACAGTGGGATAGCTATCTAATAAATGGAATGTCTGGAGAACCTTACCTA